AAACGTCGTGATAATTTTATTGTATTTTTATTTTTTATTATTTTATTGTTTCCCTTCTACGTGACTTTACCGAAAGAACCAAGAAAATGAATCCCTGCAGTCACGAAAGCTTTAAATCAAAATTTAAAACGAAACTATTTTTATTTTACCAGGTATGAGACCCACTGAGCTATAGCGGTTCTTTTTCAGAAGTGACCTGGCCACAAATGATAGCTCATCGAAGTGGCTTATCATGTGGAAATTTCTAACAGTCAAATAATGTCAACGCACGTTTATAAATGTGGAGGGAAACAAAAACGGAGGACCCGGAGAAACATCCACGTCACCACGCGGGAGAACATTAAATCTCAAAATATTACAGCAGCAGGCGTCAGGGTTGCGATCGAACCCACGACCTCCTGTATACCAGGCAAGGTAGTTAACATCTCCTAGCCACCGTGAGATGTTAACGCTAAGTGTTGACCTTTCGTATGCGTACACGGAGTTTGTCCGGGTACTGAGGTTTTCTCCCACATGCAGAGGACTTTCAAGAATAATTGGCCAAACATCCAAATGCAGGGACCCTCCTGAGAGAGTCTCGATACTCGGTGATGTTTTTTTTCGCTCTTCAACTACGGTTCAAAGCATGAATGCTTGTCCTCTTTCCGTCTGCCCATTTGTAACAGACGGGGAAGGGTACGACAACTCATGAAGATGATCCAACGTGACCAACACTGTGGTATTGAGTTGCTGTTAGGGAAATACACTGGAGAAAACCAGCCATTTTCACCAACGGGTTGTGTCGCACCCTCCGTTGTCTCGTCGTGGCAGGCTTGCCATGAGCACCAGTATTGTTTTCACTCGGAAAATACTTCCAAAGACAATCGGGAGTTGGAAAGTGGTACAAAATCCATATGCACGTATGGCTTTTCTTCTTTTGTGGACAAATAGAATAATATTTTTTTAAATGCACGTGGCTTTGTGCAATGTCATGGGTGTGAATGTGTAATTGGTTTTGACTTGGTGAGTGTCGGCTATTTAATGTGCTCTGTGCCTGCTGATAATTGAGTGGTGTGCTGTTGCGTGCATGTCGACACACATGGGAACCAAATCGTGTCGTGGGGTAACCATGTGTCAACTCTTAATTATCAGGTGTGGTCAAATCACCAGGAATGATGAACAGGATGATCGTATCCCATCTCGAAGGCTAAGCAAGTTTGAGCCTGGTTGGTGCTTGAATGGGTGAAACCCACGTGCAAAACAGGTGTTTTACATGTGGCTGCGGAGTCTATATTGTCCAGAGGACAGTGCAGCAAAAATAAGCTGTGACACTCGTGTTCGTCATTGCAAGGCCTGTGGGCCACTGGCGGCCCCTGGTGGCCTTTAGTGCGGCCCCTGGTGGCCTTTAGTGCGGCCCCTGGTGGCCTTTAATGCGGCCCCTGGTGGCCCTCTGTGGCCCCTGGTGGCCTTTAGTGTGGCCCCCTGGTGGCCTTTAGTGTGGCCCCTGGTGGCCTTTAGTGCAGCCCCTGGTGGCCTTTAATGCGGCCCCTGGTGGCCCTCAGTGCGGCCCCTGGTGGCCCTCAGTGTGGCCCCTGGTGGCCTTTAGTGCGGCCCCTGGTGGCCTTTAGTGCGGCCCCTGGTGGCCTTTAGTGCGGCCCCTGCTGGCCTTTAGTGCGGCCTCTGGTGGCCTTTTTGCGGCCTCTGACGTGCGGCCCCCATCAATACACAAAAGTGAAAACACCACCACCTCATCATAATCATCGTGCTGTCACAAACCCCCAATGGTTTCAAATGTGTGGCGGCCTTCACACTGATGATGTCTCATCGGCGAAAGTGGCCCCCGCCTCTGAAAATTAGTGAAGGATACTGTTACACTGTTTATGCACTCTGCCTGCATCAAACCCGCAATGACCGGCCTGGTGAAGTATTGACGAACAACATCCACGGGCCCGCTTGGCATCGGGAGGCCCTCATCCAGCAGTGAATTGACAAAGGGTGCTGTGCATGTTCACGTAGTCATGAATATCAAGAGGGAAGCCAAAGGCGACGACCAGGCATTGTGTTGGCTGGCCTTAACAGGTGCTCGCTAACAACGCCAGCCCCGATCCCCTGCAATCTCTAAGGCTCTTTTGTTCTTGAGTGTGTCAACACGCAGGGAAGGGCCACGGTGCTCTGTGTGCGCTGTTGGGAATTTGAATGGGAAGGGTTGCAGTGTGATTAACAACTGCAGTGTTTGCACGCGTGTGTTTACTGTGTGCACTGTACACTACTGTGCGTGGTCGTGTGTGGTGTGGTGTGTGTTTGCATGCATGTGTGTGTGCACGGGCAGTGTGCTGACTAAACCCCCCCCCTCGTTCAACATGCCCGCCTTCATATAGAATATAATATGAATTTATACGAAAGGAATCCGATGAGCTATAAAGCTCTTTTCTCAGATGTCCAGTCGGTGGGCGGGTCAGAACGTTACAACAACAAAACATACAATAACACGATAGGAGTGCAAAGTATAGGAAAGGTAAGCAAAGAATTGTAAAATATAACTAAACTATTTTTATTTTACTAGGTAAAGCCGACTGAGCTGTTCATTTTTTTTTCTGAAGCGATCTTGCCATGAAATTATAGCTCAATTAAGTGGCTTATGTGGAAATTTGTAGCGGCCAAATAATCAAACTTATCTTAATAGGTGCTCGCCAACGTCACTTGCCACAACAGTTTTGGCAAATATTTTTTTCTTTGTATGGGGAGTAGTGGAGAGTGATGTCTGGAACTGCCTCCTCCCCTAGGTCAACTCGGCCTTAAATGTCGGCGCTGGTTAAAAGGCGGTCTGGGTGTGGTGTTGACCACACAATCCACTCTTGCACCGTGCTGGCTTTTATAGGCGCTCGCAAACAAAGCTTACCCCAGCAGTCCGTCGAAGTCCTCTAACCTCCAATTAGCAGGGTTGGCTACGTATTGTGCGAAAGAAATTCTACATACGTAAAAACAAGACTATACGGGATATTTTTGTCTTTGTGGCCTTGTTGAGTCTCTTGGCTGTGAATTTGCTATTTTGTTTGTATTGTGTGAGTGCGTTTTACTGAGTGGCATTGTTCTTAATGGATGCTCTGCGAACAGCACTTGCTACATGCGTCTGTATTTTGTGTGTTAATATGCGGCGCGCGTGGCGGCCTGGCTTTCAAATATTATTTTGTATGAATTATAAATTGAAAGCCTTGCAGTCCGCTGCTCGATGAAGATCTGCCCATGCTATGTTGGTCTTGTTGGTTGTTTGACCATACTTCACCATGCTGGTCAGTGTGGGTTGTTGGTCCAGGGTAGAGGGAGGGATGCTCAGAACCAGTTCAGATCTCATTCGCCGCTAATGTTGGCCATGGGTGGGCAGCACGATAGTCGGTCACCAGGGTCACATTGCGGGGCACTTGAGCCACTATATAGTGGTGTGTGCTATAAATGTGCGGTGTGTCTTTAGTGTGTGGCATGTCCGGTATGGGTTTGCTCATTGCGTGGTGTGACGTTCATGGTGTAGTATGTCTGTAGGGGGCTGCCATGGTCTAATGGTTAACGCTCTGGACTTTAAAACCAGAAGTCGCCGGTTCGAGTCCATCTTCCTGCGCTGGCAGTTGAAAAAAATTGGATGAAAGTTCCTCATTCCCCAAGCCTCTTGTCCACCCAGCAGTATAAATTGGCACAACATAGTGAGTCGATCGGCAGGTTGCATGTGGTGGGGTAAAGTGTGGGTATGCACTCATCTTCCCGCACGTCTAGTCGGCGTGGAAGAGTAGGCCAAATCTCCTATAGAGCGTCCTTTAGGAGAGGCCCTTCGACCAGCAGTGGCGTCAGCGATCAATTTCAAGGCTGCACCTGTATATGTTTGTGGTGCCTAGGACCAAATCACTCGGAAATGCGCCTGATCTCATCACATCTCCAGAGTTTAAGCAGGGTTGAGCCTGAATAGTGCTTAGATGGGTGACCGCCATACACGGCACGTTGTTGTGTTTTTTTATAAGCGGCTGCTGAGCTATGTGGTGGTCGGCAGAGGGCACTTGCAGGAAAATAAATTTTTGTACTGTACGTCTGTGCTCCCCGTCTTCACCAACCCGCACTGACCTGCGTGGCAAAGTATGGTAAAAAAACCCCCAATGATCCTCACCACATAGGGAGGCCTTCATCCAGCAGTGTTTTTCCACACCGCTTGTGTGTTTACATGGTTGTGGTAATGGTACGCTCATATGGTGTCTATCTCTTGTGTGTGATGTATTGTCTGTGCACGTATAGTGGAGTGTATACGTGTTGGCGTGTATTGTGTAGACGTGACCATGTTGTATACATGCGGTATGTACGTGTGGTGTATATTATAAGAGTGTGGTGTATATTATGTATACAGGTGCTGTGGTTTGTGTGTGTATAGTATATACATCTGTCTGATAAACTTTAACAGATGTTCCAGCTGTGGAAGCAGCAGCGTAGCACAACTGAAAATGAAACTTTTCGAGAAAATGTTGCTTCATTGTTATTACTATTATTCGTACTAGATGATTGTACATTCTTCAGCGATTCGCTCGCCTTGTATATTCGTCTTTATTTTAAACGTGGTCTATAAATTATCTGTGGCTATTGACTCATCGTACCCTGTGTGTATATTTGGCATATAATGTACCGTACATGCAGTGTGTTGTCTACACGCGTGGAGAGGTGTGTTTTGTGCGGTTGATTTATTCTGTTTATGGTCTACACACGGGGGATGCATTGTGTGCATGCAGTGTGTGTGTGTTTTTTTGTGGCGTGTACTGTTTACACTGTATACATGTTATGTGATTACTTGTGGTGCACATGGTATTGACGAGGAGATGTCCATTTCCATTATGTGTCTGGCGTATGCGCGTAATGATGTGTATACATGTGACGTAGATTGTAGACGCGTGTGTGTGTAGTGTATACACGAGATGCGCTGTGCTGTGTATATTGTACACACATGGTTTTTATCTGCATGTTTGTGTTGTGGCGTGCGCGTGGTGCCGCAGGACACCCGTGCCACCACCATGGACACGGCATTGAGGCCGCACCGAGACCCCCCCGGCCTCATGAGGCTGCCGAGGCCCAAGCGGCCGTGCACTCAGGGAGCGCCCGAGCCGAGCATCACCCTCAGGTGGGTCCCTCCCTGTGGTGCTCGTTGCCATGTCAGGTACCACTCTCCGTAAGGCTTTGCTGCCTGTAGGTTCACAGCGGAGGCTCGAGTATCGTGGGTTAACCGAGTGAGATGGCTGGCAGATGCACCACCTGCGCTCCCCACTGCCCGCTAGGCCTGTTTTAGCCGGCCAGCGCTCTTGCTCATTGTCGCGGACGTCGTTCCTCCGGCCTTCGTTATTTCTGGTGGGCGACTGCCTCCCAACTGCCCAGTAGCATCCTTCACGAGCCGCCTCCTCGGAGACCAAATCTTAACACTGCTGGTTCTAGTCATCGGCAAGTGCAGTCCGGCCCAGGTCCTCCAGCTCACACCTGCTGCGCGTATTTTGCTCCCCTTCAGCAAAAACTAAACCGAAGCAGCTTCGAGCGTGCAGAGTGGACCCAGCTCGGCACGGCACACATCACGAGATATTGTGCCGAGAGGATGTGCTGCCATACCTTGTTGACCGTCGACCTCCGAAACTGGAGTCGACACCAATGCATGGATGTATGTATGTACGGTATCATTGCTTTTGCTGTTTTTCCTTGCCTCCTCGTGCAGTTTCCCGACTCTACCGAGTTTGCTGCTGGACAAGCTGCGCGACTTCCGCAGGGAAGGGAGATTCTGCGACGTCACGGTGTGCGTGCGCAGTGCGGAGAGAGGTAGACTCGAGCACACGCGTGCGTGTGTAAACATATGTTGGGGGCGGTAGCGCAGTGGTTCGGGCACTGCTACAAAAACCTGGCGACCCGAGTTCAATTCCCGCTCGCGTCCAACACCAGTGACGATTATTTGAACCGGTCCTCTGCCTCCGCTAGGTCATCTTGGCCTCTAATGAGTACCTAGTGTGGTATGTAAACATCGCCACTGGGGAGACAAAGGCGGTCGGGGGTGGTGCTGGCCATCCCACCTCTTTGTGTGCCGTGCCGGCCTTCATAGGTGCTCGCTAACAGCACTTGCCCCAACAGTCTGTTAAGGCTACATGGAGGATCTTTGTCTTTGTGTAAACATATGTGGGGCGCAGTGGTTAGTGCGCTGCATTAAAAAAACTTGGCGACTGAGTTTGGTTTCCATTCACGACCAACACCAGCGACGATTATCTGAACCGGTCATGGGCCTCCCCTAGATCGACTCAGCCCCAAATAAATACCTTGTGCGATGGCTAAACAACACTAGTCGAGGACAAAGGCAGCCCGGTGTGGTGCTGGCCACCCATCCCCTCGTGTGCCTTGCCGGCCTTCATAGGTGCTACTCGCTAACAGCACTTGCCCCAACAGCATGTTAAGGATATCCGGGGGCGGGGGGTCTTTGCCTTTGTTAACCTATGTATATGTACTTGTTTGTGCTGCGCATAGAGGGTAGTAGCACGTGTGCGAGTACATGCCTGCGTGGTGTGCGGGCAGTACGTGTATACTCCCACAATCCCCACAAATAAATGAAATAACCCTATGTGTCCCGACTTGCGCACACGTACACAGTTATCATGCGTGCACGTTACGCACGTGCGTGTGTCGCGCATGACCTCTGGCTGACCTGTTGACCTTCAGGCCTCGACCGTGACCGGGCAGTGGTGCGCGCGACCTCGGGCCCGACAGCAATGATGTTCCGCGCCCACCGCGTCGTGTTGGCCGCGGCGAGCCCCTATTTTTTGTCGCATGCCGGCCTGCAGACCACGGTGAGCCATCATCATCATCTTCGCCTTCCTCATTACCACCATTATGTCCACCGTCATCGTGACATTCACCATGTCTGCCTGCAGACCACGGTGAGCCGCAGCACCGCCCTCATCATCCTCTTCATCATCGCCATCCATCATCTCCATCATCATTGCCACCATCATCTCCACCATTATCATGACCGTCTTCATGATATTCAACACGTCGGCCCCCAGATTACAGTGAGCAACACCACCGCTGGCATCTTCTCTCATCACCACCGTCATTACCCTTGTCATCGCCACCATTATTCTAATGATAGTTTGTGTAACGATATGCACATCTGTGCTTTTGCGAACGTCTACGTATGCATGTTCAAGCATGTATCTGCCTTTATGCATGGGCGCCGCGTTGGCGAAATGTTAACGTCCTCGCCTGGTATACAGGAGGCCATGGGTTCGATCCCGACCCGACGCCCTGTTGTATATTTGGAGTTTGCGTGTCTCTCTCCCCCTAGTCGCGTGGATTTCTCTCTGGTTCCCCCGGTTTTTCCCTCCACGTTTAGAAACATGCATCTAGAGTATTTGGCTGCTGTAAATTTCCACGTGCTCAGCAACTTTGTTGAGCTATCAATTGTGGCCACGTCGCTTCTGAAAAATAGCTGTGTAGCTCGGTGGGCCTTACCTGGTAAAATACAAATAGTCAAATAAATCTTCTAAGCATCTCTGTGCACACGTGCATGTGTACTTGGGTGTGCACAGATGCGTGTGAACTTGTTTGTGCATCTACAAGCTTGTCTTCTGTGCACACAACTGTGTGTTTACTTGCATTTGCGCTCATGTGCAATTGCATATGTGAGTGTGGGTGTCAATGTGTGTGCGTGTGTCTCCAAGCATATCTGCTCTGCACATGGGTTTGTGGTTTACTTCCGTATAAATGCGTGCGTGTGTGCGTACGCTTGTCTGTGTTTATAGGGCAGCGAGCCTTCACCAAACCCACTCACCCTCACCCTGACCCCGTGCCCGGCCATTCCACCGAGAGTTTTCCATGACATCCTCCTCTCCTGCTACACGGGTGAGAAGATTTGGGGGCCTCTTACATCATGATCTCCCACATTCACAAATTCCATGTCTGCTTATCTGGGTTCACAGTGCAGTGTGGGGGCAACTATTGTGCCACTGCTGCATCCCACATGAGGCAGATTACTTTTACTAAAATTTGATAAAGCTGATCCACGTTCCCAAATTCCAGGTCCGCTTTGCCTACATTTTACCAATCTTCGTTATTCAAATTGAAAATTCAATCCTTACACGTTGCATCTTGCCTGATGTTTGGCCCAAAAGTCGCATGTGATGTATGAAGCATATACAGGTAGTCCTCTACTTACGATGGGGTTGCGTTACGACGACCCTATCTTAAGTCAAAAATATTGTAAGTCGAAGATGGCCTAGCCTACCCAGCAGTCTTAAAGAATGGTGATAATTTAGCAAAACAGAGCAATTTACAGTCCCGTACTGTATAAACAATATACTGTGTGTATTTATTAATTACAATACTGTATTGCATAGTAAAATGTAAAGTAAAAACAAGGTAAATTCTTAGCCTACCTATATGAACTGCACTTTAATAGAAGTTTTTTTCAGGAAACAATCCTATCTGCTATAAAAAGAAACTTTTAACATGAATTGAACGTACGTATCGTGGTAACCCTAAAATGAAATCGCTAAAGCTACGTATCATACATGCATTGAACGTATCATAACGTATCATATTCTGCTGTACTCGCCAAGATTCGGTCCGTCGTCTGCATACTTGAACGATGTCAGGTTGTTGATGGCTACATTAACTTAGTTGTCGGAAGAGGAGGGTGGCGATGATAAAGTTACAGTATCGTACCTTGTAGTACGCCGCTGCGTTTGCCTGCCGTGCGAAATTTAAAATATTTAACAATTTTGTCGTATCGCTATCGCCATCGTAAGATCGAAATATCGTAATTCGGATCATCGTAACTCGGGGACTTATCTGTATTGAAATCTCAAGCGCCCTCCGCGTCATTTGGTTCCGATCAGGAGTGGTGGCGGCGGCGGCACAGTGGTTGCTGCTTAACACATTCTAGATGCAGTGTAACATTTTACTTTATTTAATGTACACTATTTATGTCCACTGCTGTTCTCTTATTACATTTAATGAAAATTTAATACATATTATCTACTGCATTATGGTATCCTAGTGTGTGACACACACGTTGTATATTGTAGCGTTGATGCAGAGATTCTTAAGTTTGATTCCTGGCCATGGCCAACATCCGTGAAGAGCGCTATTGTGTAATCATAGTGAGGATGACGGTTACAGTGCTAACGACAGTGATTCCTCTATTGATATTTTCATCACGATAACGTTGATAATCACATGATTGACATAACATTGACAAGGATATGTATTAAATGTTCTTGCATATCTGGTGCTCTAACTGTTTGACACTCACATGTAAAAGCATTCTCTAAACAAGATTGACGATGTTGATGATGGTAGTGATTTAATGATTGATCCCACTGTATAAATGATGATAATTATGACGGCGATAATGACGGTGATAATAACAACAATGCTTCTCATGATGATGATGACGTTCGCTGTAGGAATGACGGATCGTGATGATGATGACGGTTTTGATAATATTGCTGCCCCCACTCTACTTTCTCCCACCCCAAGGCCAGCTGGTGTTCCCCGAGAGCCAAGTGCTGTCGTACCTGACGGCCGCTAGCTACCTCCACATGGAGCATGTGGTGACGCGGTGCACGCACATCCTGCACAGCGAGCCGAGAGGTGGGGGCACCATCGCCATTCTGCTCGTGTTGCTAACATCATCATTCCCACCATCTACATCATTGGTAGCAGCAGCATCGTCAGCATCAGCAGCAGCATCATCATCAGTAGTAGCAATGTCATCAATAGCAGCAATATCACCAGAAGCAGCAGCATTGTCTGCAGTAGTAACATCATCACTGGCAACATCATCACCATCGGTAGCAGCAGGGAGCAACAAGCGGCGTCATCGGTAGCGGCAACATCGATAGCGGCAACCTTATCCTTAGCAGTAGCATCATCATTACAAGCAGCAGCAGGAACATCCTCATCAGTAGCGGCATCATTATCTGTAGCATTACCACCGTCAATAGAGCCATTAGTAGTAGCTCGTTCGTTCGTTTCTCAGTCCGCTGGTCATGGTGAAGGTCGCAGCGGAAGAATGTTTGAGTAGGGCGGTCCAGACCTCCCTTTCCCTGGCGACAGACTCTAGCTCTTCCTGGGGAATTCCCAGGCCAGCTGAGCGACATGGTTCCCCCAGCGTGTCCTGGGCCGGCCCGGGGGTCTTCGCTGAGTGGGACGTGACCCGGTAGAGTTCTAGGAGGAGCAGCGGCTCGACTCTGAGGCTCCTCCCGGATTACATTAGTAGCAGCTGTGTTGTCAAAATTATCACCGGTATCAGCACAATCAGTAGCAGCAACATCGCAAGCAGCATAATTGTCTTCATAATCATCGTTATTTGTATGAGCAGCAGTAGGGATAAACATCAGGTTTTTTTTTTGTGGAGCAGTACCATCGTCATCAGCAGCCACAGCTACACCATCCATTATTATCATCATACTTCATCACCATTAGTATTATCAATGGCACAATCATTATCACCATCAGTGGATGCTTTGTCATCACCTATCACGTTCATCATCATCACCATTATACCTCTGGTCAGGAAAATGAGGTGCCGCCTGGTGATGCTCCCGTGAAGTCAGCAGTGGTTGCTGTCATTTTTATGAATGAAGGTGTGACTGCTTCTTGTCACAGGAATGTGCAGTTTATTGCAATTCGGTGCTGGGAATTCAACGGTGGTTTCGGTGTTTAATTACTTAAGACCCATCTGCCATGGAATGTGGAATTTCCTTCATTGGCTCAGGACCTCCAGTGGCAAAGAGCACTGTGCACCACTTGACAAGGTGGGGGGGTGGTGTTGTTGTGTCGGTTTGATTACATTGTCGTCATGGCTGCCTTGCCTGTTGTTCACAGGGGGTGGAGCAAACAGAGCTGTGGGCGGAGCTAATGGAACAGCAGGGGGCAGGGCCAACGGCATAGTGGGCGGAGCCGGTGACACGGTGAGTTTATTCAAAGCGTGCCTGACACAGACATAATGAGCCCTGGTGGTTCACAATGGGTGCCATCTCCCGTTTCACCCACCTGCCAAGACAAACCCCATGGCCGGCATGGCGTGTCGAGACCCACATCCAGCAGTGGATTGGCACATGACTGTAATTTATCATTTATTTCAGCAATCAAACATATGCTTTGTTTATTACTTAGTCCTTTTAGATGGATCTTGAGTTCGTCTCGGCTGCCTTTCTCTTCGGCAACCTACTTCCTATACACCCTTTTGCAAGTCCTGTTCATTTGCCGCTTGGGTACAGCTTCTGATTTAAGCAGCAGCAACAACCATTAAATATATAGTGTCTACAAGAGACCGCATCTTAAGACAGCATGAACTGTAATTCTGTATTTTACGTGTTGTGTCTCTGTTTGTGGCCACCCTCTTTCCCCGCAGCCTTCCCACAATCCCGCTGGGCCGGAGGCCGAGTACTTTTCTGGTGTTCCCGATCTTCCCGATGGAGCCAGCCACCACCATCATCACCACCAGCACCAACACCACAACCATGCCCACCAGCAGCACCACAGCACTCCAACATTGCTGCACCAACCGCAACCGCACCTGCAACCACATCTGGCACCACCGCCAACCTCGCCGCCTTTACTGGCGTCGGGCCTCCGTAGGAAACGCTTGCCAGATGAATCGACGGAGGAGGCCTGGCAGCAGAACCGCCAGCACAGAAACAATGACGAAAATGATGACGATGATGACCACGCTGGCGGCGGCGGCGGCGGCGGCAGCAGCAGCGACATGACCGGCACCACCGCCACTTCCGTCTCCAAGGAAACGAAGGCGGACGTTTCCATGGAGGCCGACTGTGGTGGTGACGATGGCGGCGGCAGCGGCAGTGGCGGTAGTGGCGGTGGAGCTGGTGATGTCGGCGATTCGACGGGCGCGCAAGCGAGCGACGACAGCTTTGGCCTCCCGGTGGTGGTGGCGGAGATCAAGTGCGAGTTTGAGGAGCCACCCTTCCTCATCGACCAACGCGGCCGCATGCCGGATCTCTCGTCCGCCGCCGCCGCCGCCGTCGGCGACGGCGAGGAGCTCGACGAAAACGGTGGAGACGACGACGACGACGACAGCGGCAACGACGGCGGCGCCGAAATCGCGGACGGCCGGCTGTGCCATGATGAGGGTCAGTTTGGCGACGGTGCCGAAGGATTTGACAAGCGTAAACCGGGCGACGATGGGGCAGACGCGGTCCATAATGGGCAGCACGCGGCCGGCGGAGCGTGCGACGACTCGATGGGTGGGTACGGTGCCGAGGAGGTGGATGGGACGATGGCGGTAGGTGGTGCTGGGGCCGCGATGGATGGCGGCGTGGAGGACGGGGGCGGCGGACGCTTGGCCCCCGGGTTTGGAGGAGACTTCACTTGTTACCTGTGCGGAAAGGTGAGACGTGTGTTATTGGACGGGATCGGGGGGTGGCGGGGGGGGGGGGGGGTGTTGTAGCTCAGTGTTGAACATGAGTGGTGTTAGAAATATTGTGGCGTTAGGGGGGGGATTGAGTGTGTGTACGTTGAACTTCTGTCGCACCGTACATAGCCAACTGTGCTAATTGGAGGTGCGGGGGAAGGGGTTTTGAATTTTGTCAAGGTGAGGGCTAGAGCTATGAATAGGGTTAGGGTATGTTTTATCTTGATTTGAAGCTTTCGTGACTGCAGGAATTCATACTCTTTGGTTCTTTTGGTAAAGTCACGTTGGTAGAAAAAATAATAGATCACGACTTTTCGATTGCAACGCAAGCAATCATCATCAGATGACGATTGCTTGCGTTGCGATTGAAACGTTGTGATCTAGTATTTTTTTCTACCTACGTGACTTTACCGAAAGAACCAAAGTGTATGTTTTATGCTTAGTACTCGGAATACAGCGAGGGATAGGAACGTTAGGGGTTAGAGCTAAAGTTAGGATGTGTACAAGGGTTTTTCTTTACTCGCCTGTCCTTAATTCTAAGGATAGGAGAGTTATAGTGTATGTTAGCAGTGGTGGTACTGGCCCATTTGGGTGAAAGTAGAACTTAAGGCATTGGATTGAGATGTAGTGAGATGATAGAAGCGATAACGATGATACACAGATGCCATGAAATGAGGGCGATGTAGACCAGACACAAAGATGATGTTAGTTGGCAGAAGAGATGCAGACCAGATGGCACTGAGAGATTAATATGCTTTTTTAATGTTAATGAGCTGTTTTCTGTTTATCAGGATTTGAAACCGAGCTGATATTTGATGCGCCCTGATTTTTTTTACATCGTTCTGGGGCTCTGAAGCTGCTTGGGGCCATTAACATTTGTTTAGTCTTCTTATGCCGCGCACCACCCCCCGAACGCTAGGGCTAGCGTATAGTTACCGTTCGTGCTACGGTTAAAGTTATTTCTAGGTGTAAAGTGAGTCCTAGGGTAGTACTAGGAGGGATTAGAGTTTGATAGGTTTAGTTAGCTCGGGTTAGTGCTAGAGTTTTGAAAGTATTAGGGGTAGGTGTGGTTTTCAACGTTGGGTTAATGCTTTTGTTTGGGTTATATCGGCGTGACTGCCAGTGTTATGGTTGGAGCTACAATTTGGAAAAGATCTTAGGGTTGCGATCATGGCCTTGGTGGGGATTAGTGCTCGGGTTATGTTCGGGGCTTCTACGTTAAGGTCCGGTATTAGCCGAGGGTTATGGCAATGCCAGGTTTAGGGCTATGGCTGAAGTTGCCATTTTTATGCCAGCTTTAATCGTGTTCAGCTCTTTGTGTCAGTATGTCGCGTCACCTCTACCCATGTTTAACCGCGCCGTGTTTCCTGAAGCTGCAAATTTCGGGAAGGCTCAATCAAGACACATGCTTATCTCCCTGCCCCGTCCCTCCTGTCATCATCCCACTCACCACAAGCCCAGCCCACACGCTCATCTTGTGCTTTCTGATGTTGGCCCCATCTACTGGCCAAAGGCTCCCCTACTCTCTTGCTAATCACGCCCACTATTTGGGCGGCCTTGCACTTTGCATCATGAATTGAGCATGAGGCCATAAAATTATATATTTAAGTTTAGGACGTAGGCTTTCGCGACGAATATCGTCCATAATGCAGTTTTTTTTGGGTTAGATCGAGTGAATATTAATGTCGTTAGATCCGCCACCACCTGACACAGCCAATTAGTAAGGTTTGTAATGCAAACAAAAATGCCAATTCGTTACTAGTACAGCACACCGGTGTGTTGGAGAGCAAAGCCAAAACATTTTCAATCTTAGTACGACGTTTTGCCAGTAATTACAACTAGCTTCATCAAGCGACAGCCAAATCTGGCTGTGACAAACCTTACTAATTGGCTGTGACGGGTAGTGGTGGGTTTTAATGACACATATTTACGCGATCTAATTATATGTCAGTAGGAGCCCAATATAGAGCACAAAGGGCAGGGGGGGGGGGTACAGAAAACTCTGCGGACACAAGTCCGAAACTCTGTGCTCCAACACTTGCAATAAAAGGGAGGAGATTGGGCTCTCTGCCCCACCGAGTGGGGACCGCGAGCAGGGTGTTTGTACTTTTATGTGGGGAGGGTCGGGGAAGAAGAACTTAAGTAAGGGGAGTAGAGGGTGTGGGGGGAAGAAGGGGGGGGGGGGCGCAGAACATTTTAAATCGGGGACAAAATTGCGACATTTTGCAAATGCAGATTTTTCTGAAACCGTCGAAGTGTCTCACAGCGTCTCCCGTGTCTCGCCGCGCGGTGCAGGTGTTCCGTTCCAAGCAGGGCATGCGGCTGCACCTGGAGGTGCACGCCGGCCTCAAGCGCCACACCTGCCACGTGTGCGGGAGGAGTTTTGGCCGCAAGCAGGTGACTGGCGGCCCCCTCTGCTCTGGAGGCCCTTTCCCTCCTCCCTCACATCCCCACTGCTGCAGGCTTCTCCACCAGTCTCCCTCCTGTCTTCCTTCTCCCGTCTCTTCCCAGCTCCACCTTGCACCACTTGCCGTCGCTCTTTTCTGGAATGTGAAATTCCCATCTCCCCACCTCCCACCCCCCCCATCCTGCCTCTTGTTTCCCATCTCCCACCAGCCAACTTTCCCCATCTCCTCACCATGCTTCGTGAGTGCATGGGGGGTAACGTGAGTACTGGTGACTTTGTGTGTGTGTGTGATAATCGATAAATCTAATTCGCGGATGTGGAATTTAGCCAAATTAAGTGCACAACTAAATATAATGTCACGCGCTGTTTTTGACAGGAATTTCTGACTAGGCAGAGACCATGAACGCCTTCACTTTGTTTAACTCTGGGTGGCTGAACTCGGGATTTGAGGCCAGGATATTGTCGTTGCTCGCTTGACAGCACTTGCCCCAAACAGTCTGTTCAGCCTATACTGGTAAATATTTGTCTTTGTGTGCACGTGTCCATACATTGTACTTGTGTACATAACTGTGTGTGTACGCACGTATGTGTGCCCCCCGCTCAGGTGCTGGCCTACCACCTGACGACTCACACGGGGCTCAAACCGTTTGAGTGTGGAATATGTGGCCGGCGCTTCCCTGTACGTGCCACCCTCAGGCAGCACCTGCTGAGACACCATCAGCAGCCGGCACATGGACATGTACACGCACACACAGGCTAACGTGCTCACACAGGCGAACACATGCAGACGCGCACATACACGCACGTGTATACACTTGTGCCGATAAATCAGCAGCGGTCGATGCACACGTGATAACGCAACCGCACACACACACACAGGCAAGAAAAAGCAGACACAGGGTAACATAGACTGCAATCATATGTACAAACGCATTGATGAATGTGTACAGTAATAATAGGTACACGCTGTCAGGCACACAACACTATAATAAGACATACTTGCTCACACAAAAAGAACAACAACCGCCATTCGCCACTAAGTGGCGGTGATGTCACCACGGCGCTTGTGCCAGGCTATGTGCACGTTGAGGCCACGTGAAGTATCGAATGCTCGCTGCCAAGTGGTAACTGGGCAGACCCCGTGACCTCTTGCCAAGAGGTCACAAGGCAGACCCAGATGCCACAGGTCGACTGACTGAGGTGACTGGCCGATGCACTACCTGTGCCCCCTACTATGCCAACTTGTTGTTCTTTAGCCACCCTGCACTTCGCTCGTTGTTGAGTGTCGCTCCTCTGCCCTCCGTTGTTGCTGGAGGGCGACTGCCTCCAACTCCCCAGTCGCGTCATTCATGAGCCTCCTCCACAGAGGCCGATCTTGACACTGCTGGTACCAGTCATCGGCAAGTCCACTCGGCTCCACATCCTCTTGTACCGTATCACTCCATCTCTTCTCTAGCCCGTGCTGTGACCGTTTAGTCCTCTCCGGCCGAACAAAAGCTGTTTAGGCATGTGGTGGATAGGCATGCAGGCTACATGACCCAGCTAATGCAGCCTTGCCTGCCGGACGAGCTCACCAATGGGACTTTGTACAGATCTTTCGAGGATTTGTGAGCTCACACAATCCAGCCTGGTTAAACCCAGGATGGATCGTAGGCAGGCCAGCCTAAATGTTTCTAACCAGCGAAGATGTTCCATTAGGTGGGGTCCACGTTTCGCAAGCATAGAGAAGGGAGGGCATAACTGTGGCCGAGAAGACCTGAAGCTTCGTGTGGAGCGACGGACTAGGTAGCTTCCACACAGCGTTACGCAACCGATGAAAAGATAATGCCCCTCGACTAATTCTGAGTGAGTTGTCAAACCGGAGCCGGTCATGAGCACACTTCCTAGGTATGGGAAACTCTACACTCTCTCCACAACTGCCCCATCACCAATTGGAAGTTGTGGGGGTGGAGTGTCTGATGGTCCAAAATACCCAGGCAGGTGCTTAGTGTTGGTGGGGCTGGATGGCAAGGCCCCGCCCCTCTTAGTGGCACGCTCCAGGTTCAGCAGCAGCGTCTCCAACGCCTCCTCTGAGTGAGCAACAATTACCAGATCATCGGCATACGTAACATGGTTGACCAATACGGAGCAATCCCTTGACCACACCCGGGCATCGATCAGCCTCCCATTGTATCTGTACCAGATGGAAGTTCCTCCGGTATAGCCATCGAAGGCTTCACGAACTATGTGGTCAAAATAGATATTAAATATTGTGGGCGCCAGAGGACATCCTTGTCGCCACCCCAAGGTGAACAGCGAATGGCTCCGACTCCCGGCCACGCAGTTTTACCTGGGCCCGCTCACCATCATTAAGATCCTTAATGATTGTGAGCAAAGAGTCAGGGACTCCGAAAGCACGAAGAACAACCCAGAGCCCAGGCCTACTGATGCTATCATAGGCCTTGACCAGGTTAATAAATCAGACATGTAGGTCTTGTTGGAATTCCCAAAACATCTGCTCTAGCAGACGGACAGAAAATATGGCATCTGCAGGACCGCCCTTTCCTGAAACCACATTGAGGCTCCGCAAGAATCTCCTCAGCGTGCCTGGCAAGGCGTTGTTGAATAATCCTTGCCAGGACCTTTCCAAGCACACAGGAGTGAGATGCCCCTATAGTTACAGTCTGTGCGTGGTACTTGGATTGAAGTTGGAGGGGTTACCAGCCCCTCGCACTCTTCCAGAGCCCCGTTTGGCCACTGTGGTGGCTACAAACCCCATGAGGGGAATGGCCAAACGAAATTTGCCCTTCCCCCATGGCGCTCCTTACCACAGCGTTATATTGTCCGGCACCAACGAGGAGGCGGTAGGGGGTTGTTTTTGCCGGACACTTGCTCACACCCACACACTGTCAAACACTTTATCATCACGCACAAACAGGCGGACCCACACTAGCTATCTCCCATAAATACACACACACACACTTGCATATACAAATATGATGTCGGGAATGACATCACTGCCTACCTCCTCCACTTCTTTAAATGGTTCAGATCATGGGATTTAGCATGATTTTATTCTAATATACGTATCATTTGTGAAAAACTCTTTACTTTGTGTGTGTGTGTGTGCGTTTTTCGATGTCGAACCGAGGGAGGAGACATGAAACGTTGAAGCAACACTTTAACCACCAGTGCAGTGATTAACTTTGTCTTACCGGTGGTGATAGCTGAAGGCAAAAGCCCAGAATGAGGTGATTAATGTTATTTTATTTAGGCTCAATTTTATGTTACTTTGACCTGTTCTTGGGTGGGTCCTACATTCCCAAGGTGGCTCTAATGAATTTGAAGTGACTTGGAAAAGTTGCCTCCAAAATGTTGTGATCCCTTATGTATGTCCCCCTGTCTTCATCAAACCGCACTGACCAGTATGGTGCAAACTAACTCTATGAACCCCCCCCCCCCCTCCCTCCACGGCATTTGAAGGCCCTAATCGTGCAGTGGATTGACAAAGGGCTGAACTTCTATAACTAGCCTGCCCCTTGTACTGTTGGCCTAAGCTAGATAATACAAATGATAGGGCCACATTCTCATCTTGACAAAATTTCATTGCTGATGTCTCCATTGGCAACGAAATGGCACAGATGAGTGATGATAATAATTGGCAAATGGGGATTTTTATAGATTGTATTAAAGGTACAATTATGAGCATCGAATATGTCCCCCCCCATTAGCCTCGCATATCACGTGACATCACCAAGCCACATGTATACTACCCGACGTTACTGCAGCGTTCGATACATTTTACCATGCTACTCGCTTTTCTCTCTAGCGCACCTCGGCATTCTCATCAAACCACGTCACTTCTTCCCCCATCCGCCGTCACTGTCGGTGTCCCCCCCAAGGTGCTGTCCTTGTTCCCCTCTTTTCTCTCTACGGCTCTCCTCTCGATTCCCTCATTTCATCATTCAACCTTCATAATTTATTTGCTGATGACACTCATTATCGTCTCCTGTAACAACATTTGCAAAGTCTCGCCCCCTCATCTCAAATACGGTTGCAAAAATTATAATACACTCTATCTTCGCTCGACTCCATTACTACAACTCCCTCATGCTGGTCTTCCCGCTTATTCATTGAAACTTCTCCCAACGTATCCAAAATGCCGGATCATCTTCAATCTCACCTACCACTCCTACACATCACCTCTCCTCATCCAGCTATTATCATTCATTTCTCAATCCGCTTATCCTGGTGAGGGTCGCAGCGGCAGCATGTTGAGTAGGGCGATCCAGACCTCCCTTTCCCTGGCGACAGACTCCGGCACTACTACACTATACACTAGTACACTACACTATTACACTATACACAGGCTCTAGCTCTTCCTGGGGAATTCCCAGGCGTGCCCAGGCCAGCTGAGCGACATAGTCCCGCCATGGTGTCCTGGGCCAGTCTTGGGGTCTATTTCCATTGCCTTTTCAAATTCCTCACCCCAGTTTACAAATCTCTCCATGGTCTGGCCTCCACTGTATCTCGCTTCCCTCATTTCAGTCTACGCTCCTTCTTGCCCTCTGCGTTCACAATCCCAGCTGGCTCTGTTCCCTCTCATCCCTGTGCCTAATCACGATTCCCTTCTTTCTCACTTCTGGCCCCCTTACACTGGAACAAACTGCCGCTACACGTCAAACAGTCGGGCCTCGCTGCCCATTTTTCGTTCTTCCCTTAAGGCTCGCTTATTTTCCCCTCACTTAGCCAAACTCCTCTTCTCCATCCTTTCCCCATCATGAACACCATCCCATTTCCCAACTTCCCTACCCATTTCCCAACTTCCCTACCCATTCATCACACTCACTCATCATTAACCACTCATTTTCACTTTCGTCGTTTGTTTCACGCGACGTCATACGCGCGCACTGCCATCCTCATCTCATCACGCTTCTGCTGTACAAAGTTAATTATTTTATTCAGTGCCTTTTAAGAAGGCGCTACATAATTAAAATAAGATAATTAACGCTGCCTTGCTTTAAACATTAACTCAAGAATCCAGCAACAAAAGGACAATGAGACCGACTGTTGGTTTCAGCCTTGTTAAGAATCGTCAAAACAGTTTAGCCATCATTGCCTACTGCTGCTGTTGCCTTGTGACTCGAGGCCTTTATGCGGATAAGACCCCCCCACCCATCACTGTTGACGTTAGGCACTGCCTAAAGGCGACAAAACATTATTACTCATTTGTTTCCATTCTTGACCATCGGTCATGACTAGCATGTCTTGCCCAAAGCCCACTTAGGTCTGAATAATGCCTTTAAACTGCGTATGTTCTCTTACGCATATATGCCTCTATCTCAGTATAATTCCAAGCGTGGAATCCCACTGCTGATTTTCACACCTTTCGGTTTTTGGTAATTTTTTGTTGCTGTAATTAATTACCATGTTTCTGAACCATATGTTGTATAGCAGATAGTACGGCACTGGTTTAGCAGTTGCTTCGTGCTAGGTGGATTCATACATTGCAGTCACGTGTGAGACTGACTGCTTGGGGGGGAGGCCTTCATCAAGCAGTGGGTTGACCATGGTTGATGATTTGTTTAAAGCCTGCACACACTTTCTGTCCGAGTGCATCATTTACAGCAAGTGTTTAAATTATCTTAAGGCAAATGACCAAAGATCGTCAAGACACGAGTCTTGCTAAAATTGTCTCCCTGGACAAACATGTTGACCAGTGACGCTCATCTTTTGAGGGAGACTGAACGAGTGGAGGAAAGTTCTCACGGTGGGGAATATTTTTTTTTCCAAATAAATCTGTAGATGTGCAGCCCTCTTTTGTCAGTTCATTGCTGGATGAGAGCCTTCCCACACCGTGCGAGTCGTGAGTGTTTTGTTACCATACTTCACGCTGATCGGTGCGGAGTGAAGGCCAGGAGCATAGAAGCACAGTGAAATGTTGCAATTTTGCTGCATTGCCCCCTCAAACCCACACGGTAGCCCTGCATCGGCCTTAAGGCACCTTTTATGATTGATG